ACTAGCAGCAGTTCTAGCAAGCTAAATACAAAAGTTTTCAAAAATTCTTTTAGCCTAGCATAGTTACCATATGCCATGAACTTTAGGAACGAGCACTCCTAAAAGACTGTCTTTTGTCAGTATGTAAGATTATGAAGTTTAAAAGTTTGTTTCAAGACTTAAGTATCAGCGTAGTATATGCTGATGAGTTCAGAGAGTAGTTGAGTTTGCGAGTTTTTCACAATTACGGGAGTATTATTGCTTCATTAAACTTGTTCCTATAAATTACTATACATAGATGCCGCAGCGAAGAATCGAATAGAGATGCTTGCAACCCTTCATGCTTCTAAATTTAGCTCCTTTTCTTCAAATCCAAATCCACCAGCACCTGTTGAAGAACTGAATGAGGATTATGCAGCTGACTACGAAGAAGACTTACCTTCACCGAGCAAGGATGAACCTTCATTTCCTATGCTAGCTATCAGCTTACCACCAGCGAGGTGGCCACTTATCTCTTTCTCCTTTTTACCTTCTCCCATCTCCTGTATAACCAAAAAACCAAATTTTCTCCACTAACATTGCAAAACTGTTAATAACGCTCTTGAGTGGGTTTTATCAATATGATCCCTTCTTAGCGTCGTAGAATCGCCTGAACCATCACCTCCTCAAGCGGTCCCTCCTCCAAAGAAATTTCCGTTCGCGTCTTCGGGAGGCTTTAGTAAAAGAGTGCAGACAACTATGGAGGTGACAAAATTGATCTTTTAACATAAACAAATCAACAGAGAGATAGTCCATCTAGACCACTGTACCTCCTACAACCCGACCAACGACAAGGCCTACCAGCACTACTGTTCGTACGACCACTAAGCCAAGACCGAAAACTACTCGAGTGAGTCTTTCTTATTTTAAAACAAAGAAAAGTTTTTTTCGCTATCCATGCTTTTGTCGCCGCTCTAATCAAGCCTGCATTTCCTTTCGCCCTTTTGATGCTTAAGTATGCTTCAGTTTCCGTTAGACCTACGACGTTGTGGAAACGGATCGGAAGGTCTTACCTGAGCCTTTGGTCAAGCACATCTTTTTGAAACGTCCTCTATCGGAAAAGACTTCGAAATCGGGCCGTTTTGCCTATCGATAGCGATAACGGTATATCGCAAAACATGGTTTGGGCTGGAGTTTGAGTTTGATATTTTATGGCCACTTGAGCCGTATGAACTCCGCCTGGTAGCTTGGCTCATCAAACTATTGGGTTGTTTCAAAAGTTCTACCCGTTTTTATACCTC